TCCAAGGGTTCACAAAGAGTCTGACAGGACTGAGCGACTGAACAGTGATAACTTTTCCTCTCCCCCCCATTTACCTTCATTTTAAACAAGAAGGTCTACTATCTTATGCCTGTTCCACCATTTTATACTGGCATTGGGGGTGGGGTGGGGACATAACTTGTATCTTTAGACGTATCTTCAGATTGAAAGCTATTGTACTCAAGGATCTGTATTTAGTAAGGAACTACACCCAGAAGCCTCATCCAAAACTAGACCTGATTTAGATGGAAAGATGAAGGACTCTGAGTTTGTAACAGGATGAGAATTTTGGGACTTGGTGAGAGGGAAAGTATATTTTGTATATGAGTCATTGGCAACCAGAGGGCAGATTGGTTGACTTCTTCTAAAATGATTCCCAACTCCAGGTATTCCTTTGTGTAATCCCCTCCCCTTGATTGTGGCTGGGCCTAGAGACTTGCTGCTAATGAATATGGCAAAGATGATAGGATGTTATTTGCAAGATTAGGTTAAGAAGATGTGAATTCTGTCTTGCTCACTCTCCTTGACTCTTTTCATTTGCTTGCTCTGATGAAGTCAGCTGCTGTGTTAGTAACCATAGAGAGAAAGCTTCATGGCAAGGAAGTGAGGTCCTTCATCCAACACCCATGAGGAACTGAATCCTGTCCAAAACCACATGAGCTGGGAAACAGTCCCTTACCAGTTAACCTTGACTGCAGCCTGTAAGAGATTCTGAGCTATGAGACTCAGCTAAGACAAGCCCATATTATCAACCCACCAAAACTGTGACAAAATACACATTTGCTATTTTAAGCAAACACTAAAGTCACTATATTTTTAGGAACTTCCAGGTTGGTGAATATATCCATATGTGGAGGGCAGAGTATCCTTATATCATGGGGCCAGAAGCTCCTGTTTTGGGACCCTTCCAGACCTCACCCTATGTACTTCTTCATCTGTATCCTTTTCTAAGAATGGCTCTAGATTTTCCTTCTTAAACGCAAGCTTTTAAGTGGGAATAAAAGAGAACTACCAATAACCAATGACAATATAAGGTGCTCAAATTCATTAACAGAGAATTACAAACTGAAATTTCAATGAAGTACCATTTACTCTTACTCAATTAGAAAAATTAAAAAGGCAGGCTGTATTCTATAGTAACATTAAATAAGAAGGTTTGCTGTTTTTTTTTTTAAGCCATGTTGATGTGGATATAGATTCCTGGGGATTTTTATATTGACAGTAGCAGTGTAAGCTACTGTGAACTCTTTGGGAAACAATTTGGCATTACCTAGTGAAGCTGAATACAAATATCCCCCATGGTCCAGCAATCCTATGCTTAGGTGTGCATTGTAGAGAAACTCTTGAAGAGGAAGAACCTTAAAAAAATGTACGTAGCTCTAAACCAAAACAACTCAAATGGTCATCAATAGTATACATAATTGGATCTATTATTATTAATTGATTATATCAGAATAGTACTATGGCCATAAAAACAAATTAAAAATAGTTATATACCTTAGAAAGATAAATCTCAAGATAATGTTAAAAGAAAACAAAATGGACAGAAGAAAACAGATTATGATCCCATTTATTTGAAGTTCACAAATAGGAAAACTAAACAAACAAAAGGGGAAAAACATGACAATAATAACAGATGAGCACCATCAAGCAGTTTCAAATATTGCTACTGTAAAGCCAATCTGCCCTGTCAGTATCCCGAGAAGAGTTGTTCAATCAGGTGACCATTTTGCTTCATTCATCACTTAAGACTATCTCTACACTAAAAAACTTATAGAGAATGTGTGGTAACAAAAGCTTATGAAGCACTTGGTACTGTACTAGGTACCATGCTAGGAGTTTCACATGCATTTTTTTGTTTTTTTGACAAAGCATAAGGATTTAATAATAATTTTTAAATATATACTATAACATTTATGCCAGGGCCTGTACTAAAGGCTTTACAGTAATTTTAATTTAATTCTTACAACAATTCTATGAAGTACATACTATGACCACCATCCACAATGGGTACGGTTATCATCATCTTGATTATAATAATAATAATAAAGATAACAGGTAACACTTTTTGCCACACTGTGCAGTTTGTGAGATCTTAGTTCCCTGACCAGGGATTGAACCCAAGCTCTTATCAGCGAAAGTGCAGAGTCCTAACTACTGGACCGCCAGGGAATTCCCAATAGGTAACATTTTTGATCACCTACTAATGCCAGGCACTGGGCTAAGACTTTATAGTCACCTAATTTAGTCTTCAGGACAACCTTAATGGGTATTGTTTCCATCTCCATTTCCAGGATAAGAAAACTAAGGGGGAAGATGAGGTAACTAAGAATAAGCAAAATCAAGTAACTCACTCAAGGTCATACAACTAATAAAGGGTAGAGCTAGGATTTGGACCTTTGTCTGAATGTTTAGCCACTTTCACAGTCCTTATTTTATTTAATATTCATAAACCCTGTAATGTAAATATAACACAGAGGTTAAGAGCACAGTTTCTAAAGATGGAGAGACATGAACCCATATCCTCTTTCTACTATGTTTCAACTGTGGAACTGAGGACAAGCTCCTCAACCTCTCTGAGAGGAATAGGCCTTTCATCTATAAAATGGAGGTTTTTAAAGTATCCGTGGGTAATGGTAAAAGAGTAAATATGAAAACTGAGATAAAGCATATGTAAATAATGTTATATTTACATACTGAAATATCACATAGTACTGGAAAAAGAATGAACTATTGTTATGTAAAATAGTATAGGTGAATCTAAATATTACATGAAAAAATCCAGGAACAAGATAGTAAATAGATATGATAGCATTTATATCAAGCTCAAAAACAAGCAAGACTGTTTTTGAACTTCATATGCAACCTCATCACCTCTGGTGAAAAAGACTGAAACAGTGGTTACTTTGGGGTTGAGGAGGATATTGACTAGGAAGGAGCATACAGGAGTCTCCTAATAGATGCCAATAATTTTTAAAATATCTTTATATGTATGGTGAGAACACAAGTGTATAGAGCTGTAAGCATTCATCAAATTGAACACTGAATATTTGTAATTTACTATATATCTTAATTTTAAAAAACTCATAGTTGCAAGAATCTTGGAATAGGCATTGGAAGTTCTAGTTCTGCCATGTGTGATTCTTGACAAATAATAAAATTTCACAGGGTCTGCATTCCATATATTACAGCTAAATAAGGTCTCTTCCCCTTCTAAAATTCACTGACTCAAAATTCCTATGAATTTTCTTGGCCACACCATGAGGCATGCAAGATTTTAGTTCCCCAACTAGGGATTGAACTCGTGCGCCCCTATAGTAGAAAGTCAGAAGTCTTAACCACTGGACTGCCAGAGAAGTCCCTGCAAAATTATTTTCTCCTGATTTCCACAGAAATTTAACTTCAGCCAATCTCTTTACTCCCTACTTGGAGAGATGGAGGGTGTTAATAGGCTTATTTTATATTAATAGATGGAACAAACATCAGAATTTCTGGGCCAACATATAAGCATACAGAATAAAATGCTTACCTAGAAATACAAATGATTAGAAACAAGTTATGGTCTATTATATGGAAAGAACAATAAACTATGATGACAGGAGCTAAAACTGTAATTTTTTTTATCAATGTAAATAACTTGGAGCCACTAGAGTGATGATACCTAATAATTTATAGTCAGTAACTGAAAGCTAGCTGCAGAAAAGTAGATGTTCCTTTCAAATTATCCATATGAGGAAGCAATGTTTACTGTACAAGTTCTACACTTGAAAAAAATCAAGAAGACATTCCTTGATAGGGGCAAGTAGGACACACGAGGGAAGCTCATTGCTTTTTCTTTATTTTACAGGGGATATATATTACTTTTATAAGTGGAAAGATAAAAAACAAGAGTTAAAGTCAACTTTTCTTCATGAGGAGATGCTACCTGAATTTAACAGTACTTTTTATATCATTATGTCCTTATTTGATGTGTACGTCATCAAGTTAGGTTATCAGATCAAGTCAAGCCAATCTAGTCATCACTTTTTGAGAAAGGAAGAAAAATGCAATGATTTTAGAAGTATTCTAATTCAAGGAACTTCTAGTATGGATTATGGATTAAACTTCTAAATTTCAGTGATTCTCTAACCTTTTGTAAAACTCAAGGGAAGATGTATCCATCAGATGACAAAAGAAAACACTAGATGCAATAAAATGCCATGGACAAAAGTACCAGCTCATTTAGACCAAAGCACAGATTCCTATTCTGGCCCTGCCAGCTAAATTTGAGTAAATCATTTTGATCTTTCTGACTCAGACCTCTTCCCTATAAAATGAAGGGACTGAGTTAGATAATTTTAACCTTTATTTTTCCCCTCACTAAAATGCTCTATATACTTGGAATTTACTATCTATGGGCGTCTCTGGTGGCTCAGAGGGTAAAGCATCTGCCTGCAATGCAGGAGACCCAGGTTCGATCCCAAGGTCAGGAAGATCCCCTGGAGAAGGAAATGGCAACGCACTCTAGTATTCTTGCCTAGAGAATTCCAGGGACAGAAGAGCCTCATGGACTACAGTCCATGGGGTCACAGAAAGTCAGACATGACTGAGCAACTAACACTTTCACTTTCAATATGATAGATGCTTTTCCTCATATTGACCATACTCCACACAAAAGTCAACTATCCTTATTAACAAAAATATCTGAAAATTAAATATAAGAAACCATTACATTTGAATGATAGACTTGAAAGTCTGCCATGCTTTTACTGCTATAAATTGGGTTTGCCTCCATTTTTGCCTCCATCAAGTACATAAAAAGGATAATTCATAAATTTAAAAATGAATTAAGTAAATGAAAATGTAATGAACCAGTTAGAGAATTTTTTAAGAACTCATTGATGAAGCTCTCTCTATTCCAGGAAAGGGCTATAGTTTACACACACACACACACCTTTATTAGCTGAATATAGGGTCAAATAAAAAACATAAAATCTACTCACTTTGAGAGAGATACTCCCCCAGCTTTTCCAATCATCTCTTCATGGTGTAATACTGAATGGTTCCAAGGAATTTGGAGGAACTTTAAGACTGTTCTCATCCATCGTTCTGGATGTAAGACAAGTTGCTCATAGTGAACTAACATGCATTTTTTATAGCCAACCTCCATACACTGGTTATACATGGTCTCGATGGCACGATTCCACTTGGTCAAACAGTCCCTATAGCTGTTCAGGTCAAATCCAGCTATGGTAACTTTTCGAGAAATCATTGAATGCACTGATGCCCGGCCATCTCGGACCATCAGGAGAAATTTGGCATTGGGGAATAACCTAGCAAGGTAAGTTAAGGATTTCAGGGCAAAAGGATCTTTATTACATAAATAAGGGGCTGGCTCCCCATGCTTCACAATGATTTCTAGTAAGAAGGCCTGCATGGCAGAATCCAGCACTTCATCGGTGACACCAGCCTCATCCAAGCGTATTTTCTCCTTACTCGACCGTGACCATATCTGCTTCAGAGCCAGGATTCGAGGAATGACCCTGGTTTCCTCTCCACAGCGAATATCAGGGTGTGCATCTAGCATGGCCCTCATGAGCGTGGTTCCACTCCGTGGCACACCTCCAATAAATATTAAAGGCATATCTTTGTGATAGGCAAAGGTTTTATTGGCTTTGATGTCCAGGACAGTTCGCACAGTGGTCTTTATGTTCTCCAGTTTGAGGGGCTGGCTACGTTCTTCTATTCGGTGATGGCATTCCATGGCGTGTTGGCCCAAGTAAAATACAGTCACTGAACTAATCACCAGACATGCCAATAGTAAATTCTGCTTCAGTTTTCCAACCATCTTGATGTGATTATCTTGCTATTAAACAGATATTTTGCTCCAAATGATTTTCAGAAAACATTCAGGCCATGGACAGTCTACTTCAGAAAGATGACCAACATCTAATAGGAGAAGGAAAAAGTTATTTTACCATCACACTGAGATTGTTGACAAATTAATCATCAGTTATCACCATTACATTTGAGCTAGAAAGAAGCTGAAGCATTCTTAAATACACTGATATTCTTAGAATACAAGCATATATAAATGAAAGCAAAAATAAATCAACATTTCTAATTAGAAACAGCTTTTCTTTATGTAACAATACTGAAGCTACAAACATTGCACAGAATGGAAAAATAAATAAAATTATTTCTAGTTATTCAAGTAAATATTCAATATTCCCAAGTATGTTTAGAGTCTAACCCAAGGTTCATCTCTGACAGTCAGAGCTGCTTCATCCCCAAGAATTCATTATCTCCACATTCTATTTTAAAGAGAAATTACAGAAGAAATATACAACTTCCAAATTTTCAACAGATTCAGTTTATTCATTCTATAACGTATTTATTTAGATAATAGTCCAGATACTTGGGCTTGGCTGAGGATAAACTTTGAAAAGGACAGCAGTGCAATGACCCCTGCTCTCAGGAAACATAGTCTCATGGGCAGACAGATACACAATGACAGTAAAATGTGGTCAGTGCCTTAATAGAAATAAGCAAAGGAGACCATGGGAGTATAATGAAAAAGCACACAAAGCATGCCTCAGGAAGCTGCAAAAACCTTATATAAAACAAAGGAAAGACTACACTAAGCAACAGAAATTTGTGTGCAAAAGTACAATGGCAAGACCGAACACAGTAATTAGGTGCCAAGAAGTAGTTCAGAAGAGCTACTATAGGGTGCATAGAAAACTGCGTGTGTCTGTGATCTAGCCTTCAGAAGAATAGATAAGATCTGGGCACAAAGAATATTCTAAACTGAAGATACACCATGACCAAAGAAACAGACACATAAAAGCAGAGGCATACATGTTAGACACATAAACTATGCACATGTAAATTTAACCTGAATTTCAGAGAGCAAGCGTGGTACTTCATTTTATCTGTCAACTTTGCTAGGCTATGGTGCCCAGTGTTTGGTCAAACACCAGTCTAATGTTTCTGAGAAGGTTTTTTCTTTTTTTAAATGACTAATAAATCTAACAGACAGAACTGTGAGTAAAGTAGGTCATCCTACAAAACATAGGTGGACTTCATCCAACAACTGAAGTCATTAAGAGAAAAGACACATTTCCTGAAGAGAAGGGAGATTTTCCTCAATACAACAACACAGAAACTCTGAGTTTCCAGCCTGCTGTCCTGAAGAATTTACACTCAAGGCTAACATCACCTCTTACCTGCCAGACTGCTGTATGGATTTTAGAAATGCCAGTGCCATAATCACATTCCTTAAAAACTCTTAGTTATACACACACACACACACACACATCCCTAAAACACACACACACACACACACACACACACACACCCCTAAAAGATGATGTTGTTAAGAGTGCTGCACTCATTATGCCAGCAAATTTGGAAAACTCAGCAGTAGCCACAGAACTGGAAAAGGTCAGTTTTCATTCCAATCCCAAAGAAAGGCAATGCCAAAGAATGTTCAAATTACTGTACAACTGCACTCGTTTCACATGTTGGCAAAATTATACTCAAAATCCTTCAAGCTAGGATTCAGCAGTATGTGAATCAAGAAATTCCAGATGTACAAGCCAGATTTAGAAAAGGCAGAGGAATCACAGATCAAATTGCCAACATCCACGGGATCATAGAAAAAGCAAGCAGATTCTAAAAATACATCTACTTCTGTTTCATTGACTACGCTAATGCCTTTGACTGTGTGTATCACAACCAATGTGGAAAATTCTTAAAGAGATGGGAATATCAGACCACCTTACCTGCCTCCTGAGAAACCTGTAAGCAGGACAAGAAACAACAGTTAGAACTCGACATGGAACAACAGACTAGTTTAAAATCGGGAAAGGAGTACATCAAGACTGTATATTGTCACCCTGCTTATTTAACTTATACGCAGAGCATATCATGAGAAATGCTGGGCTGGATGACTCACAAGCTGGAATCTGCCGAGAGAAATATCAACAGCCTCAGATATGCAGATGGTACCCCTTTACTGGCAGAAAGTGAAGAGGAATTAAAGAGCCTTCTGATGAAAGTGAAAGAAGAAAGTGAAAAAGCTAGCTTAAAACTCAACATTCAAAAACTGAAGATCATGGCATCTGGTCCTATCACTTCACAGCAGATAGATGGGGGAAAAGTGGAAACAGAGACAGATTTTATTTTCTTGGGTTCCAAAATCACTGTGGATGGTGACTACAGCCACAAAATTAAAAGACGCTTGCTCCTTGGAAGAAAAGCTATGACAAATCTAGATAGCATATTAAAAAGCAGAGACATCACTTTGCCGACAAAGATCCCTATAGTCAAAGTTATGGTTTTTCCAATAGTCATGAACATATGTGAGAGTTGGACTATAAAGAAAGCTGAGCGCCAAAGAATTGATGCCTTTGGACTGTGGTGTTGGAAAAGACTCTTGAGAGTGCCTTGGACTGCAAGGAGAGCAAACCAGTCAATCCTAAAGGAAATCAGTCCTGAATATTCATTGAAAGGACTGATGCTGAAGCTCCAACACTCTGGCCACCTGATGCAAAGAGCCAACTCATGGAAAAGACCCTGATGCTGGGAAAGATTGAGCACAAGAGGAGAAGGGGGTGACAGAGGATGAGATAGTTGGATGGCATCACCAACTCAACGGACATGAGTTTGAGTAAACTCAGGGAGATAGAGAAGGACAGGGAAGTCTGGCATTCTGCAGTTCAAGGGGCTGCAAAGAGTCGGACACAGCTTGGCGAATGAACAACAACAATCCTGACTGACAGTGAGTACACCTGGGGAAATTACTAACTATACTGGGAAAAGAATACATTCTGAGAAGCAGGACTTCTAGCTATGAACTAATGAGAAGGTAGGCCAATCAATTCTTGATCCTTGTTGCCCCCTCCCCCACCCCCGGGCCGCAAAAACAATTTATAAAACAGGATGAAACTGACCAAAGAAATACAACAACCGAAGAAGCATTTATGTTTTAAAACTGCTTAACACTGAGTAAGAACAGTGAGAACCTCTGGTACTTGTGCCCGACTACTCCCACCCCACATTCATCCACTCAGCAGGTGCAGAGGTTCGGCAGAGTAGGGCAAGGCAGAACAAACTACAAGGCCTAGAGCCTTTGCTGCTGGAATCAATGGAGATCGCTCAGGCTGAATGGGAGTGTAATGCACATGCCCCACTGTGCTGCCAGTGTGACGCTTCCAGCCAGCAGGTGTGCAAGGAGCAAGAAAAGCTTGAGTAGGTTGAGGCTGTAGCTCATAAGCCTGTTTGCCACAACTACTGAGCCCACTCACTGCAGCCACTGAAGCTGGCTCACCTAGAGTCCGTGCTCCACAACAAGAGAAGTCACCACAATAAGAAGACCACACATCATAACAAAGAGTAACCCCTGCTTGCCACAACCCGAGAAAGCCCAAGCAGAGCAATGAAGATCCAGCACAGCCAAAAATAAACAAAAGTCTTTTTAAAATGAAAAGACTGTGCTCGCTTCGGCAGCACATATACTAAAATTGGAACGATACAGAATAGATTAGCATGGCCCCTGCACAAGGATGACAGGCAAATTCGTGAAGCGTTCCATATTTTTACACTTTCTAACACCATACACAAAAATAAACTCAAAATAGATTAAAGATCTAAATGTAAGACCAGAAACTATAAAACTCCTAGAGGAGAACATAGGCAAAACACTCTCCGACATAAATCACAGCAGGATCCTCTA